ATAACGCTACTGGTGATAGAGGCATTGGTGACAGTGGAGGGGCACTGATGGGATTGGTGATTGATGGTAGTGCTTTCTGTGACAACGTGGTGACAGGTGAGATGAGTGGCACCGATGATGACGAGACAATAACTGGGATAGTGATGATGTTAGTGATCGCGGTATTGACGATGCTGGTGATTCTGAAGTTTCAGGTGAGGATGATAGTGCAGGTGTTGTTGATAGTGCTGTGGGTGGCAGAGATGGTACTGACAGTTACACTATTGCCCACTGGACCGACAGTGGTCTTGATGACGATGTCAATGATGTGAATGGGGGAGATGTTTAAGGTGATGGGGAGAGTGACAAGGATGTTAATGGTTATGATGGTAACTTTTTTCCTTTCTTTTTGAACTTTTTATTGGGTGAGTTAATATTTTACAGAGAAAATCCATTTTTCATGCAGCAATTCAAACACATTTTGTTTCATCGCGTGGGGGGCTGTTACAGATTCATCGTTATTCTTTAATGTACTGTGTTGGTTTACCCATTCTTCCATGGATGGGCATTTAGGTAGTCTCCACCTTTTTGCTATAACGAACCAGACTGGTTTGTCCTTTTAGCAGTCCGTGGGCCTTTCAATATTCCTCGTCGGCACTAGAAGGACTCTTAGCTGGGTGGGGTTCAGGTCCCCAGACCAGTAGGTGAGCCTGCCCAGACCACACAGCAGACCACACAATAGGCTGCCACGGAGCCTGGACTCACAGTTCTACAGCGCCACAGTCCTCAGTACTCGGGCAGCCGCAAATCTTACTGTTGACACTTTCTAGGGATACGCGTAAGACGTTAGACGTAAGATGCCCAGAAACTGAATCGCAGCCTGACTCAAGGCTTCTCCCACTAAGGTGAAGCAAAAACCCTGAGGTCCTACAGAGTGCCCAGGTACCATGGCAGCCCCACCCCACCCCAAGAAGTCAACTTAAGCATCGGTCCACACTGGTTACTCTGGGAATGCCTGCATCGGGCTCC